TTTTTTCTTATTGAAATTTATTATTAGTATTTGTGGGTATATAGTATGTGTATATATTTATGCCTTATATGGCATATTTTGATTCAGGCATACAATATGTAGAAATTTCATTAGGGTAAATAAGATATCCATCACCTCTAGCGTTTATCATTTGTATTACAAACAGTGTAATTATACACTTTTAGTGCATAATTTAGTGAAGCAGGTGGAATGCCTGAGGTCAACAGCTAAACATCAGCCTGGCGAACATGGTGAAACCCCGTCTCTACTAAAAATACAAAAATTAACTGGACATGGTCGTGCACGCCTGGAGGCTGAGGCAGGAGAATTGCTTGAACCCCGGAGGGAAGGTTGCAGTGAGCTGAGATCACGCCACTGCGCTCTAGCCTGGGTGACAGAGAGAGACTCCATCTCAAAAAAAGAGAAAGAAATATAAAAAAATTCTTACATTTCTGAGTTCTGAAAAATTAGTAAATATTTGTTATATAGTTTTCTTTGAACATGTGGTCTCTCTGCCTGCAAACATACAGACTTTTAGTGTTAATTTACATAGAGTTAACTATACACAAATTACTCTGAAGATAAACCTTAGGTGGAAGAAAATTATGACATCTGTTTGTACATATTATCAGAAAAGCAATTATTCAAACAAAAATTATTTTAATAGCATGACTAATAGAAAACTAAACATCTCAAAAATGCTGAAAGCAAATCTATACTTTGTCTTGAATTTATTAATATAAAATTTTATGGCTTATGGTTCGGATTCTTCCCAGAAAATGCCTATTAAAGCACAGGCAACTTTGTCTCCAGAAATAACACTCTTAAGTACAACAATAAAAGCCCTTTTCAAACGGAAAAAAAAATCATTTTTAACATTTATATTAATAAAAACAACTAAAATTGAATAATTGGATATGTTTTTATTGTTCTATGTGTGTGTGAATGTATAAAACGGTACAAAAAATAATTTAAGCCAGGAAAAAGATGTTAGTTAATATTTGTAATGAATAAAACTGGAAAGTAGTTAATTATTATTTTTTAGTCTGTTACTTGGGATTATTTTATTATTATTATACTTTAAATTCTAGGGTACATGTGCACAAAGAGCAGGTTTGATACATAAGTATACATGTGCTATGTTGGTTTGCTGCACGCATCAACTCATTTACATTAGGTATTTCTCCTAATGCTATCACTCCCTCAGCCCCCCACCCCCCGACAGGCCCCAGTGTGTGATGTTCCCCACCCTGTATCCAAGTGCCAAGTGTTCAGTTCCCACCTATGAATGAGAACATGCGGTGTTTGGTTTTCTGTCCTTGTGATAGTTTGCTGAGAATGATGGTTTCCAGCTTCATCCATGTCCATGGAGAAGACATGAACTCATCCTTTTTTATGGTTGCATAGTATTCCATGGTGTATATGTGCCACATTTTCTTAATCCAGTCTATCATTGATGGACATATGGGTTGGTTCCAAGTCTCTGCTATTGTGAATAGTGCCACAATAAACATAGTGTGCATGTGTCTTTATAGTAGCATGATTTATTTTAATTAGATGTCATTTGTCTATTTTCGCTTTTGTTGCTATTGCTTTTGGTGTTTTAGTCATGAAGTCCTTTCCCATGCCTATGTCCTGAATGGTATTGTGTAGGTTTTCTTCTAGGATTTTTATGGTTTTAGGTCTAACACTTAAGTCTTTAATCCATCTTGAGTTAATTTTTATATAAGGTGTAAGGAAAGGATCCAGTTTCAGCTTTCTACATATGGCTAGCCAGTTTTCTCAGCACCCGAGTAGCCTGTATTCCCAGCTACTCGGGAGGCTGAGGCAGGAGAATCACTTGAACCTGGGAGGCAGAGGTTGTTGTGATAATACCCTGGATTCCCAGTCTGTTGCACACCTGCTGTGTAATACATTCCTATTGAGTGTAAAAAAAAAGTGTGACTGTGGTGGGAAATCACTCACAAAATTAGGTCACTCATGAGTTGACTTTGTGTTTATCAAAATAGAGATTATCCTGATTGTGCCAAACTTAATTAGAGGTGCTTTTAAGAGAAAGAGACACATAGAAAAATACCTCTGCTGGCCTGAAAGTCTAAGTGATTTCTAGGCGGAACATACTGTAAGCTGCTTATAGTGGCCACATGGTAGGAAACATGTTTGTATATTGTCATCATTCCTGCCTCCTGCACATTGCTTCCAGTAGGGAGAATAAGCGGATCCTATGGCAGAGGGAAAAAAGGGAATCTCATTTATGCAAGAAATAATCACCTCTCATCTGGGATAGCTAAGAGAAACAGGAGACCACAACAGGGCCACATTAATGGGAGGACAAGGGTAACCTGGGTAAAAGTGCTCACTGGTATTACAGAACAACATTTAGCAAGCTGTAGTGAATGATCAGCCTCTGGGATACTGATAGTCTACCATCAAGGCTGAACTCATTCTAATTCAATCAGCATGTCTGCACCATTCTGGTGACCCAGGTTTACACTACTCATTACAGAAATACCATGAAGACCAGTGGGTAATGTCCTAGAATTGAACTGATTTCCTAATTTTTTTTCACATTATAAAACCTTAAAAAGAATAAATTTATAAATAATTAACTTCTAATTATAGAGGATTCTACTATACTGTAATAAACTATAAACATCTTAATATGAATATTTCTTGAATACATAGTTATGTAGGCC